GCATAGCAGGGTGAGTAATGGAAACAGCATACACAGTCCGACTCCCCAAGTGCAGATCGCGGGGCCTGTAACGTCCACACCCACTCTTAGGGCTCTTGCCTGGCCCCCTACCCACTGACCATCTCCACAAAATTGGGACCATTCTCTTTGCTGCCACTCAGGGGCAGTCCTCTGATGTCTTGCCTCCTCCCAGACCAAGGCTGAAATCCTAGATATATGCAGTGATTAAAAGCCTGCGTTTGGAAATCAAATATTTGAATTTCATTCTCCACCACCTATGTGACATAGGAAAAGTCCTATAACCTCCCTGTGCCTCAGTTTCCTCGTTTTAAAGCAGAGGTGGTTTTTTTAAAGATTTTTATTTATTTATTTTTTTCCCCCAAAGCCCCAGTAGATAGTTGTATGTCATAGTTGCACATCCTTCTAGTTGCTGTATGTGGGACACAGCCTCAGCATGGCCGGAGAAGCGGTGTGTTGATGCGCGCCCGGGATCTGAACCCGGGCTGCCAGCAGCGGAGTGTGCGCACTTAACCACTAAGCCACGGGGCCGGCCCAAAGCAGAGGTGGTTTTGATAGCCCCTACCTCACAGGGCTGTTGTGGGAAGTGAGACAAGTGTGGACGGTACTGGTGCCTGGCATATGGTGAGTGTTCTGGAAATGTTAGGTATCACTACTGAGCCACTTCCCCTTTATCCAAGGCTGACCGGCAGAGTGGTAGGGATTGACTTAATCCATCCTGGCTCAGAGTGCCCATCCTCATAGGCGGGGACCTCCCTTCCCCCAGGAACGTGGTCCACTGGGGTCTGCACATCCCCATCACAGGTCCCAGCAAGGGGTCACTCTCAGTACCTTGTGAGCAGCCTCTTAACGGTGTGGTCTCAGGGGCACCTACCTTGGTCACCCACGGTGACTTAGCCTTAGGGACCCAGCCTTGCCAGCCAGTGTCCTGGGTGGCTGCACACAAAGATGAGCCTCAGGGGGTACCTGTGGCTCCTGGTCTGGTCCTGGCCGGCTTCCCCTGGGGACTGAGGGCTGAGCCTCGCCAGAGTCAAATGCCTTTACTGCTTCCCAGGCCCAGCCCACTGCCCCTGGCCTCTGCCTCTGCCTCTGCCCCAAGGCGCCCAGAGTCCAGGCTGCCTCATGGCTCCAGCAAAGGCCCAGCCACTCCCTGGGGGATGGATTAACAAGTTCAAGAGCCACCCAGAGTCCCACCCAGCTCCACCCAAAGGGGACCCCCTCACACACCGCACAGTAGCCCCTGTTCCCACAGCCTGGTGGGAGCCACCTTGGGTACAGGCCTGGAAGCGTCAGCCGCTTGACCCACAAATGAGAGTGCGCGTCCTGGCCTGGCTCACAGAGCTCCTGTACAGAGCCCCCTGCCCTGCAACTGCAGGGAACTTCCTGTCTGGGTGCCATCCCAATGGTGTCACAGAGTGACACTGGATTGTGAGTCAGGAGATCTAAGTTCTACACTTGGCACTCACATCAACACCAGCTGTGTGACCTGGGGCAAGTCACTTACCTCTCTGGGCCTTAGTTATTCCCTCCATAAAATGAAAGGCCCGGAGCACATGATCTTTTAGGCCTCTTCCAGCTCAGGCACATAGTTGTAGCATAAAGCCAGGTACACAGTAGGTGATTAGCAAATGTTTATGGAGTAATTTAACTGTAAGATGCAAGACAAGATTCCACAGGACCCCGCACCCATCTACTTTCTCACTGTGCATTTTGCCTCTAGTGTTAGCTGTGTCAAGTGCCAGCTCAGGCCTGGCTCGTCATAGGTGGTAAACCTCTGTGAGTTGAGTCTATATATGCGGTATGATAACAGTAGCCCAGAGACTGAAGACAGAACAGAATCTGACTGTGCACAGTAAGAGCTGATCATGAGATCTCGGGTGGGGTACACAGTCCTCTTTGTTACCAGTTGCCTCCCCCTCTGGGCATATTGAAAGTCATTGCACTGGGGCTGAGTCCATCAAGCATCACCACTCCTTGGTTCCTGAACAACTTACACCCTGCTTTGGCTGACACTGTTCCCTCTGCCTAGAACACCTGTCAGGGGCTGGGATTTACTCCATTTAGAAGCTAATAAACTAGCCTGCTGTTGTTTCATAAATGCTGGCATGAGACATGAGATTCCTGAGTCAGAGACAAAGGATTTACCACTCTTGGCAGAGCAAGCAGCATTAGCATCATTGTTACATCTCTTTCCCTTGTTCTCAAGTTTCACGGGGGCAACATGGAGGGGCCCGGGTGGATATTACCCATGCATGGGGTTTGCAGCACAGCTGAGGAGCACTGAGCTTGGCAAACCCACCACTGCCCCTGCTAGCATCACCACTTGTATAGTAAGCAATAAGCAAGCCTGCTCTTTGTCTGGGAGAAGATGTTCCTTCATCCCTCCAAGTTGCTGGCTGCAAATACAACGCTGAGAAATGTTTTGGGGAAAGAGTGGTCGTTGCCTTGCATTCTTGGCATACCCAGTGATAACACCCAGGGACGCTCAGGACCCGTGGTGGACTGCCTCGCCCAACAATGCCCCCCCCCCATCTCTGCTTGTCAAAATTCTATCCATCCTCAAATGACACTTTGTTCTTGAAGTTTCCCCAGCTCTCCCATCACGCATACCCTATCCTTGCCTTTTGTATTTTCCTTATAGTTTTCATCTACACCTCTCTTTTGTGTCCCAGCTGTCCCTCTCCTACCAGCAGAGTGCAAACACTTTGAGGGCAGGAGTTGGTCCTCTTCATTCCTGCATCCTACACCCAGATTGTTTTCATCCAGCAAGTGCTTAGACCGTATTTGTTGAGTTGCAGGAATCAAGATCTTTGTGCATGGTTATGCTTTTGCAGAGTCTGTTGGACTGCCCCATGGAATGTCTTCAAGATTACAGAGGCTAAAAATATCTCCCTAAAGCCACCGCAGGGCGCTTCCTTATAAGGAGCAGGACTTGGTTCGTGAGGCTGAAGGTTTGTGCCCACCAGGTGGCGCCCTACCCTCAAATCCCCAGATGCCTTTTTTAGAAGGTGGAAGGATTCTCTCGTTTGCCTCTATTCGCTTAGGTCCTCCATTCACAGAGGTTTGTGTGGCGTAACCTCCTCTCATCAGTCCAGTACTGAGAATCAGCCCCCAACTGCCCATCCTAGCCCCAGCGCCATTCGAGATCGGTACCCTGAGGGCATTGATGTCCCTCCAGGGGTTTCTAACGGAGGCTGACGGAAAAGCCTGAAATTAGGATCAGAAGAACTAGGTTTGAGCCCCCACACTGGACGTATTAGCTGTGTTTCCTTGGGCAACTCACGTAACCTTTCTGGGCCCCTGTGAGAGTAGCTGAGAATAAAATACGGGACAGTATATAAAAGCACTTTGAATGTGGACCTGGGCTCCTGTTGAAACTGTTACCCATCAGCTCTGTGAACGTGGGCAACTTCCTTAACCCTCCAAGCCCTGGGTTCCCCATCAGCGGATCAGAGCTAAAAACAGTTACTTTATAGAGTTGGTGTAACGATTAGGTAGAACAATGAATATGAAGTGCTCATCATGGTGCCTAGTGTATAGTAAGCATTTAATTCATAGTAATCACATATATATTATGTATCCCTAGCCCCTAAAACAGTGCCCAACACTTTATTAAGTGCTTAATATTTATTTGCTGAACGACAGGATTTCACAGACAAGGAAGATGAGGCACAAAGCGGTAATATACACACACACATACACACCCGGGTCCCAGCACTAGGGAGGGTGAGGTAGTGACAAACAGCCAGGCTGTCTGCCTCCAGGGCCTGCACCCTGAGCCTCTACGTCACGCCGTCTTACATAAATATGGGTGTTATACGTATTTATACCTTAAAATATGCATCCAGAGCTTTCTTAGGTACCTGTAGGCGGGGCTGAGTTGGCAGTGAGAGGTATTAGCCCCCTGAAAAGGCACCCTGCTTTTCTCCCCCAAGGGGAGCCAGGCTGCTGGAAGAGAGACCTGCTCAGCCAGGCCGGGGGCCAGTGGCCTCATCCCATGACCAGGTGATGAGGGACTAGCTCTGCAGGGTGGGATAAGCTGGGGGTCTGGTGCATGCACAGTCCCCAGGCTAAGAGGGGTCCTCTCAGTTCCACTGCTGTTCCTGCAGCCACTCTGTCATCCACTCCACTGACATTTACCAAGTCTCCTATGTGCCAGGCACAGGCAAAGATGGATAAGATCCGGTAACTGCTGCAGAGAGATGCTGTAAGTGGGGGCCTAGAAGAGCCAGTAATCAACAGCCAGGGAGGCTGGACCAGAGGAAGGAGCATTTAAACTGGGCATGGAAGGACAAGTAGGAGTTTGCCAGCCAAATGGGGTCTGGGAATGAAGGGCATTCTGAGCTTATTTGGGAAACTTAAGAGGTTTGGAGGGGTTGGCATGCTGGGTGTGAGCACGGGTAAGGAAAGGAAGTGGAAAACCAGGAAATTGGAAGTTGGTTGGGGCCAGATTGTGAAATATGCCCATAGAGGAGATAGAACACCATCCTGTGGTCAGTGGGGGAAGCAGTGTAATAAGCAACCAGGTCTGTGTTTTAGAAAGATGCCACAGTGCAAAATGATTGGATGGGAAGGGGAGAGAAGCGAGACCAGCCGCAATTACCAGCTTCATGGTCTTAACCCCTCTAGGCTTCTTTTCCTCATCAGCAAAATGAGGAAAATAACTGTATGTATCTCCTGGGTTGTTTTGAGGCTTAACTGAGAACACATGTAAAGCACAGAAATAACGTAAACCGTCCATAGGCTCCATCCATCACAGGCGGCTTTGCCTCGTAGTTAAGCACATGAGCTTTGCTGTCTCTTAGACCTGGGTTTGTGTCCTGGCCACGTGGGGAAGCATATTCTTAAATCTAGGCAAGACTTCATGGCAAGGAGGGTTGGAAAAAGAGGTTGGACTGATAGGACTTTGCTTTGTGGCGTGTGGGAGAGGCAGTGGGGCCTTTGGTGGGTGATGGTCCCTTTCTCTGACACGGAGAACTCGGATGGCTGAGACAAAGTCTGAGCGCAGCTTTGAACAGGTAAGTTTGAGGTGGGCACTGGCAGGATATTCCGGATGTCCAGGTGAGAATGGATGTCAGATCAAGCCCAGCACTGCTTTCCCCCAGCGCCAAGGTAGGGCCAGGAGGCCCGGGTGGGCGCTAGGACAGGAGAGAGGAGAAAGAAAGGGGCCCAGCCAGAGGCTGGGAGAACGCTCCAGAAGACAGCCTTCCCCTCTGAAGCTGGATTGGAGCCGGGGACGCAGGGCGGGCTGGGCGGCCCCAAATGTGGCAAACGTGGCCTAGCCGGATAGAGCCGAAGGCCCGCGGCGGGCTGGGGGGTGCGCGTGCCCTCCGCCCTGCCTTGAGGAAGGAATCCGAGCTGAGTCTGGCGCCGCCGGGAAAGGGGGGCGCCAGGGTGGTGAGCGAGGCCCAAAGAGAAGGCAGGAAGCCGGGAGGAGCAAGCAGGGGTGGAGACCGAGGAGGAGAAGGGAAGGGGCGGGTAGGAGGGGTGGAGAGAGGGAGAGAGAAAGAGAGGAGGGCTGGGGGGAGGAGAGAGGGGAGGAAGGGTGGGGAGAACGGGAGAGGAAAAGAGGAAGACCAGGAGGGGAGCGAGGAGGCCGCGGCGGGCGCAGCGGGCACGTCAGCCGGGCCGCCCCCGCGAGCAAGGCGCCGCCATTCCGCTGCTC